AAGTCCAGAAAAGTTACAAATAAATACAACAAAAATTACCAGAAGACAACAAATCATGCTGACGGCGTTCTAACAAATAAAGTAACTACAAAATGCATGAGACGGTGTGTGCTGACTATTTTCCACTGCTATAGGAGGCAAGCAGCGACATAGTTAGCCTAATGTAGGCGAAAAAAGCAAGGCACAAGAGCGTGTAGTCTGGCTGCTGCGAAAACAAAGCTCGGGTAGTTTTTGGCGGCGAGGCGGCGCTGTTGCCGGACTAGTCTGAACTACATAGGTGTCTGAAAAATGGTTAAACCTTGCAATTGTGCCTCTTGTTGGACACAAAGATAGGGCGTATAAAAAATATGTTGGAAATATAGACATCAGCTGCACATTGCTTCTCTAGAATTAATAAAAAGTACTTTAAACTCTATGCACTCTTTACTTGAACCGGAGATACAAATGAAATTATAGAAAATATTAACTTGCAAAAAAGCATTGTCTGCACCTAACAAATTTTGTAGCTGAAAATCATCAGGTACAGATCAACAGATGGTAGTAGTACAGTAATAGTAATTCTATCTATCTATGTATGTGTYAGCCTGAGTAAAGCGTGGACGGGTCCGCAGCCGCACTTTTCTTGTAATTAAAAAAGAAAAGCAAAATTTCCCGCAAATGTCGAGAATTCGGCTAAAAAAATGAAATTTTCGGTTGAGAATAAGTTTGTGGTGCAAACAGATCTCTACAAATATTTTGTTGGGTTAATGTTGACAGAAATGTATAAGATCGATATAAAAAGATTTAATCGACCAGTGCGTCACCCTAGAGACATCTATTGGAAAACAGCGGAAGCAAGTTATACATGCATTTATTTTATTCAAAAAAATGTCAATCAAAACTTTTTCAAACAAAATACTTTTTTTCATTAATATAAACTTTTCAATGGGAACAATTCTATCAAAAAAAATTTTTTTTTTTCAATCAACAAATGAAAGAAAATTAAAAAAAAATATTTTTTTCTTATTCATACTAAATTTTTTTGGATTAATATAAATTTTTCTATCAAAAAAACTTTTTCAATCGGAACAATTGGTTCAAAAATCAAAGAAAAAATATTTCAATCAACAAATGAAAGAAATTTTTCAACAAAAATATATTATTTCTTTTTGCATTTCATTTTGAATTAAAAAAATTTTTATTCAAAGTTTATTTGTTCGACTAAAAAATCTAAAAAAAAAAATTGTTCAGGAAAATGTAAATAAAATAAATAGCAGCTGCCATATTAGCTATTTCAAAAGACGTTTCATATGTATGCTTGTATGACAGTGCTCATAAAAGCACAAATTGTCACTTATGCAGCTGTCTTTCCTTAGCCTTTTTTTATTTTATTAAACTTGCATCTCACCGCTCACGCTGTCACTTAAATTCAATAAAAAGCTTTTTAAATTCTGCGTATTTCTTTTTCACAAGAAAAAAATAACAGTTATTCTACATTCGTTTTTCATTTTTATTGCCTCCATTTATGCATTGTGATTTTTTATAAATATGTGTATGTTTGTATGTATTGTTATGTCTATATTATAATTTTTATTTGTTCATGTGCGTATTTAATTGCGCACACGCAACTCGCAACCCATTTGCGTTATATTTTGTTGTGTGCCATTTGCCATTGTATGACTGCCTACAAAAGTACGCACACAAGCGCATTCACCTCTACATAACAGTACTGTTATAAAGTATTTCTTGATTGTTCACATTGTTGCTGCAGTTGTGCGCGCACACTTTACCCTCTGCAACGGCGCATATTTGCGCATACTATTACACTCATTGTAGCAACATTTATTGTTATTACTGCGTACGCACACCCGCCTGCACTACCTGCATCGCATCCATGGCCGAGAAACGGCGAAATTGCTCATCAGCGCCACACTTAGGTCTGCAGTTATAATATACACTGTTTTATTGTCTTTTGTTTTGTGTGTGTGCGGTGTTTTGTTTTTTGTTTAGTCGCTTTACTATTAATATTTGATAAAGGGGTTTTTTTGCTTTTATATGCGCTTTGTTTGCCGTTTTGTGGCAGTTGTGTTTGTGTATATTGCTTTTGTGCTATAATTAGAATTTATGACTGGTCTTTTTTTATTGTAGGAGCATTCTTGTGTGGTATATATGCATAATATCTGTTTATAATATCCCATAAATAATTTAGAAATCTTAAAAATTAAAGTAAAAAGTATATTTTAACTCCATATCTTAAGTAATGTCTTTAGTATGTTTTAATAACACACTTTAGTGACATATATTGCGAGTACAAGTAGTGTTACGTTGCGTATGAGTAACATTTAACACTGCAGATAATGGCAATTGGCAAGTTACAACTCATACGCACTGGTTCCCCTAAAGGTACGCCTTAAACACAATTTTACAAAACAGAATAATATTAGAGCTTAATAGTTATCATTTGTTGAACACTCCTATGAACTGAGTTTATTTGAGGACGGAACTATGCTTCAATCAAAAATTCTGCAAATCGTTATCAACTCATCTTTAGGCTTCTCTTCTCTATTACATATATCACACTATTAAATATCATTATACGAAAGTCTAAACAGCGTTGATAAGCCAAAAGTAAATGTGTTTAGAGTTCAGTTATAGAAAATTTATTTTAACTTAAAGTTGACGTTGAAAGTACACACAGTTGAACTTCCTTAACTCAAATTTCTATAACTCAAAATTCTTCATAACTCGATCTCTTATATTGATAATTGAGGACAAATTTCATACGAATTTCCTTCCATAAATCAAATTCTTTTTTTTTTTTTTTTTTTTTTTGTAGATTCTGGTGTTTCGAGTTAGGAAAGCTCATCTTTATTTCTTATTCATATATCTCGACTAAACAATTTTTTATGATGAAATGTAGATGTGTATAATGTGTAAACTCATTTTTGAAAGAAATTTTTCTTAATATATAGTAACTCTGTTCCACAATTTTTGCCGTTTTCTGAAAAATTGTATATTGATACCGCTGTAATATGATTGGTTGGAGAAGAAAAATTCAAAAATTAATTTTTTACCATTAATGCTTTTTACATAGCTGGCAATCCTGTTCATAATTTTTTCCGTTGTATTAATACCGTTGATGAAAGAAAAAAATAGTGATAATTCAAATTTTTTTTTTCTAATTAGATTTCAACCTTTCCCCACAACCTTAAATATGTGGCAATACTGTTCATAAATTTCTCCGTTTTATTAATATCAGTTAATGAAAGAGAAAATTAGTGATAATTAAAATTTAACACTCTTAGTTTTTTTTTAACAGATGGCAACCTTTATCCAAAACATTTTTTCAAATACCTTCTAAAAGTAAAATTACCGTCTGAGGAAAAAAGTATTTAATAATTTCTATAAAAAGTTAGAAGCTCTGTTTTAATTACCGACTAACTGTTAATACATATTCAAATATCTTCCTTCCTGTGCGTAAGCTCTTTTACGCGTAGTTTGGTGGAAATGCTATAATCTTAGGTAAAAGCAACTCTATTTTGTTGCTATTAACAAGATGAAAATTTCGTGCAAAAATTTCTTAAATCTGGATTCGTTCAGTTAGTTAAGGGAGGTACATAGCTTAACGCCCAATTTTCTTTTGATGAAGGTGTGGCAACTCTGAATAATATACATTAATAATTTATCAGTTTGGCAATAATTTTTATTGGCGGAGTTTTCCAACAGAAATCTTTGCAATTGTATTCAATTTTATGTTCAGACATGTGGCAACTTTCAATTTTCATTTTATAGTTGCTCAAATTTATAAAATCACCTCAAGTTGCTTTTGAAAAGGTAATAACCAACAAACTAACTCCAGCGTAGTACGGTGCGTATGAGTAACATTTTGTTGGAAAAAAAAAAATTGCTCTGACACTTTTTGGTAACTCATACGCCATGTAATATACTGGAATATTCACAAATAAGCAAAATATTGTAAATTTTTTTCACTTTTTACATTTTAGTCGTAAATTTTTTATGATTTTATTTTAAAACGCAATAATGATATTTTGCCCTCACACACATACTGTTCTGCCTGCTTATTAAGAAGTGATACTTTTGTACTTTTCTAGTTAAAAGTATAATTTTATGACACCTTCAACCTTTATTTATTCATATAACTGTTTATTTTGAAAGTTTTCATTATACCCCTCTGATACTTTTTCAGTATCAAAGCAGTAAATTTGCTTGGTAGATACTTTCCGTTAGTTGTTTCCACGTATCACGTGACAATTGACTGACGGCTGTCGAAAAATTTTTAAATTTCTTAAATGTTCTTCATATTTCGTATTTATTTCAGTTTAAACTTATTCACAACCCCGACTAACAGCGAAAGCTATTGAATATACATACAACCTAACATAAAAAACTAATAAATAACGGTTTCGACAAAGCGGGTTAGTTTTTGCGGCATGTACGCATACAACATGAAAAAATAACAGAAATCGAAAGAAATGAACGGCAACTTTATTTCCGCCTTTTTCCGCAGACAAACAAAAAAATTCATTATTTCACTTTGCTTTGTTTCAGCCATTTGCATTCTGTGCGCCAGCCAGCAAAGTTTTTTCATTAAAAGATACTTGCCTGTATTGACAGTTATCTATACGAAAACTTGTGCTGCCAAATTACATGTAGTGAAAATTTACGAATTTCCTATTCCTCCTATTTGTTGGACAAATGTCTAATAATTTTCTCTTTTTTGCCGCAACTTTGTTTTAATATAAGTTTTTACATAGGTATTGCCAGGCAATTTTTTTGCATTCTTGCCACCCCAACAGTTTTCACTTTATGGAAAAAATTACTCTTTTTTTTAGTGAAAGGGAAACTACAAGTAAATACATCCAAAAATTGAAGACACGTTTTTTTATTCAAAAAATTTACCATTATCAACTTCTACTATTGTATGTTTACTTTTTATTTAAAACTGTACTTTGTCAGACAGAAATTAATTATTATACTTTCCTTTTTTATCTGCATTGCAGGTTTCCTCTCATGGGACGTCGGTGATTGCCACGTCGATTTGGAGGAGGAATTGAATACGATCACGCAACACGCACCAGAGGGAGAGGAAGCTCGTCACGGTAAGTCTGATTTACATAAGTAGCTCACATATCATGAAAATATGAGGAAGGAATTTTTAGTTATAAAAAAATTGACTGCAGATTACAAATTATATTGGGGTTTTTATTCTCCCAACATGGTTATAAAATATATATAAATTATAGTATTGAAATTTTAGTACAAGAACAATTATTTTGTTTTATTGATGAATTTTTTTCTCTAAGTAAGACATTTTACAACGAACTCAGGCATACCAGTGCGTATGAATGACCGAGTTCAAGAAGCACTTCCAGCTAACCAAAATGTTGATCATACGCACTGCTTTGCATTAGAATTATTGCTTAACGAATGTGCGTTTTCTACAGTTTTGGAGCAGTTAGATTATTTTAGGAGTATTAGCTCATTGATTACTGGGGTATACCAGTGCGTATGAGTTATTAAATCTAATGTAACACTTTGACCTAACTATAAGTGTTGCTCATACGCACTGTACAATTCATTCTAAGTAAATTTTTTCTTTTTTAAAATTATTTTTACGTAATTTTTTTCTCTTACAGCTTTCAATTGTTAATTTTATTTTATTTTTCGCGTACTCCCTTAAGCGCTTTTAATACACGTCATGAAAATGTTTTTGAACTCTGTTGACACTTTTAATCCGAGCGTAACGCGAGAATTTCCACGAAAAGCGCACACTTGACGTTACGAAAACGCAGATTTCACACAGTTTCATACACATACTACAATGTTCTACAAACATAAAGTTTGCTCTACACCTGCTGACTGCTTGCACAGTTATTTGCGGGTGATCCCATGAACCCAACCTACAGTTTTGAGCACCGAGCATGCTTGACCACTGCCTTAAATATTAAGCGCATATTCTTTCGTGCCTTCATATTTATTTACACCCTTACGGGTGTATGCTTGTATATATATGTCTGCCTGTGAGTGCATTATGCCATTTTGTTTGTCATATTTTCAAGTCTACCCATTTTCTGAAAATTTTTAACATTTTTATACATTTTTCCATACCTTTTGTAATACCTCTACAACTGTTTATTACAATTTACTTTCAACCCTTTTCCGTGCCAATGTCGTTTTCTCATTTTCCCCATTTCCTATTTGCAATATATTTCTACCGAAACACACAAGCATACACATTTTATGCTTCTAGGAAATTTCATTTTATTTATTTATGTMTTTTTTATAATAATTTTTCTCTTTTCTCATATTACTTGGCGCATAATAAAATTAAAATTACCACAGCGTAAATAGTTGGCAAGCCAATATGCCTGAGTGACCATGTGGAAGGCATTAAAAAGTACAGCCGTGCGCATATGTGTGCGTCCGAGCGCATATTTTTGTATATTTAGTTTTCAAATGAGTATGCTTTTATGATTACGGCGCGTAAGTAAAGCATAAGCACAGGTCGTAGCGCACTTGAAAAACATACACACACTGAGGCCATTACAAGCCCACATATGACACTTAAATGGCTCTTGATGGCTGACGTGACTCAGCCCGAAATAATTTAGTTTTACTGCACTTTTACATAACGCCGGGTACAAAATATTAGAAATTTTGTTCTTATTTTATATACCCGTTATGTGTAGGGGTATAAGGTAGCATGTATATGTAGTAGATAGAGGACCTATTTAACTCTTCTCTCGAACATACAGAAATTGTAAGGCAGTAAATCCTCCGGCACACTTAGTGCTCTGCCATTTAATATAACGTAACCTAAGACAATAAGTCCAAAAAACATTAACAATAATTTGTCATATCTTCAAGTAAGATCAACACTGATTTTCTGCTAGAATTTATAAATCACTTGTTCTTTCATCAAAAATATTCAGTCAACCCTATATAAATATATTTAATAGATACAAAACCAAAAAATAAAATCTATAATAAGTATAATCATACATCACATCCTGAGCTTAATTACATACTAATATATAACTCTCTATGAAATATATGCAACTATCATCCGAGTGAAGAATAGTATTTTTTTAATTTTGATGGCGAGCTATTTCAAATTTACAGACCACTTAGTAGCAACCGCCTAACTAGTCCAATATCCAAAACTAAATACACTAAAACATGATAAATATTATTTGAAAATTAAACATCAAACTTTATCCAACTCAAGTATACCAACTAAGTATTCGAGAGAAACATATTGGAATGAGAGATAGAAAAAGTAAAATATTTTCCTAACCATGAAAAAGAATACAACAGATGTCGCGACAGTTCAATTATGAAAAGTAAGTTAATTCAAAGAAGTTCTAGTTTTTTTTTTTACCTTTAAATTCCCACTTTTGTCCATTCATAATAATGGACTTTACGTCCTTCTGCGATTGCATAATTATAACGTGACTTAATTCTACAGTTCAAGTTAGATATAGAGTCATCATATAGGTAAATAGGTGTACATAGAATACAATATATATAATTTATTTTGTTAAGTGAGAGCTCTAGATGGTTGATGAGCGGGAGTACCTCAGCTAACGTGAACCAGTCTATGTAAAAACCCGACTAGCTACACAACTTCCATTCGCCTACACAAAATCGGCACGCCTTAACAGATTGACAGCCACAAGAAGTCTAGATGGTGCTCTGCTCAGATATGTCACATGCGTGTATTACGGCATTCACAAGTGCGTATGAGCCTCTAACAGTGTTTTGGAGGCAATTCAGATAGTTTAACATCACAACTAAACTTTTTCTAACTATTGTACACGCATTTTGAAATATTTGTAGACTTATAATTGTGCTTAGATAACTGCAGGGTACAAACAGCAAATATTTTGGACTAATTAGCGTGGTAAGCGGAACTAAGCACATAGATTTTCCATAGATTAATAATCTTAAATGGAATAAACTGGAGCTCAAAAATTGAAAATCAACTCAGAAACTTTTCTCGGTTACACAGGCCTAGAATGAAATACGAGGTTAGGGACGAATGACAAATTTTAGAAAAAAAAATATTTATATAAAATCTGTCTCTTATACACATCTAAAATTTGTGTACTTATTTTTGAAAATGTATAATATTCATAATTTTTTAAAATCAACAAAACAATTTTGAAATAGTTTGAAATGTCAACCGAAAGTTAAAAAATTATAAAGAATAAAACTTGTATACCGATTGTTGAGAAAAACTAGTAAATTTCAAACCATTACAAATTTTTACAACCAAAAAACAGCGAAAATTTGTAAAACAAAAACAGAGATTTTAATGAAAAAAATTAATTATGTAAATATGATAAACTTCGAAAGATTTTAA